ATCTTAAAATACCCTTACTCATATGTATCATATTATGTCGTTTTAGTCCTTATATAGTCTACTTTACGTTAATATTATATGACAATATGTAAATACCACGGGTTTTTTTTATAAAAAATATTTTATGCAAAAGAGGCGATTTCATTAGTTTTCGTCCAAAAAAATCAGTTTTCGTCCTAATGTACGCTAGTTTTCGACCACTGTGTAGAAAAAAGGGTGCAGTTGAATTATTAACTTAAAACCCAAATCTACAATACAGTAACTATGGATTGTGGTTTTGTGGTATATCATTTGAAAGGTACTTTTGTTAGCTTTCAAATGATATCAAAAAGATTTATATAAGTTTCTTACCTAAATTTAGGAAAATATTGCCATAGGTCAAAGGACAAATGGACGAAAACTAATCTACAGGAATAGCTAATTTTAATTTTCGTCCACCCCAGAGCTTGTTCATGGGGTCATGGACGAAAACACAACAACGTTTTGTAGCTGTTTTTTGTTTTCGTCCACATCTTTTTAACGGTTTTTATGGGTTTATCACTGTTAAAAAGTGGACGTAAACTAAAATGTTTAATGTAATAGCAATAAAGATCATATTGAAAGAAAAAACATTGTATTTTGTAGGTCCATTGAAGTAAAATGATTATTAAAAATATTAACTAGGTGTCAGGGTTTCCGTCCACGTGGACGAAAACCAAAATCTTGCAAAATTGTTATGCTAGTATTAGTCCACTTAATTATCTAAGATTTCTATACAAAAACTTTAATAAACCCTTAAAATAGTGTTTGTTATGCTAATAGTTAGACATACGTGCCAAAAACATTACATGAAGTAGCTACAACAGTAATTAAACATACCATGAAAGTTCCCTACCGGCACGTTTTTTTTTCTAACTTGACGACGTTTTCCATTCACCTGTGTGCAGCAGCAACTTCCGTAGATTTTTTTGGAGTTATTACTTGTCAAATTACATTTTCATGCAGGCAGAACTGTTACTTAGATATTATAGATTGTAACAAGTCCAAACTTGCACGAAAAGTTAGGTTTGTATTCTAATTTTCCGTATTTGTTTGTGGCAAGTCGGTCAAATGGACGAAAACAGGAGCTGGACGGAAAACCGGCGCAATTACCCTACGTTTAATCGCGGTTGCTTGGAGGAGGGGACGCGCATTCCACGGACCGGCAAACTTAGCGCGAACGGGTAGTAACGACGACACACATTTTGGCTATGTCTAGGACTTTATACCTTAGTTACGTGGTTACAACGAGGACTCGTGAGTTTTATTGATAAGGTCTTTACTTTAGATAGTAGGATGATAAACATTACATTTTACACCATACCTATATGTATATTTACTAATTTCACAGATAACATAACAAATTATTGGTAATAAAGGTTTATTATTATTATAGTTTATCTGATATGAAATCGTTTTACACCTGTTGTTTTGACTGGAAAACTTATTATCAAATCATTCTTAGATACATATCTACCAGATAAATGCAAAATTATAACTATTTCGTGGTTTTAATATCCAATGCACAGCAAAATAAGTCATGCATTTCACAAAAAGATTACCATCTTATCCCTAAGTCTTTTATCTTAACTTCGGCACCTGGTTCAACGAATATTGTTACCGATACCGACATTCAAATCTAAATTATAGGCAGCCTATCTGCTTGCTGGAAATCAGTGGTTTGAAATAACTAGGTTTTATTATTGTCTGCCACGAATTTAAACTGGGAGCTAAAGACTTATGTTATTGTTTTGACTGTAATTTTTTCGGTTAAGTGTAGGTATCATTATAACTCACCCAGCAAAAAGCCTTCAAGGTAATCTAGCTGACTGAGAAGTTCGTAGCTCATCTCTTTGCCGTCGGTCATTTCTTCTATGTGTTCCCTCAATTTGGTTTGCAGCTCAGGTTTGGTGGCGAGCACGTGGAGAGCGAAAGACAAAAGAGTGCTGGATGTTTCGTAACCCGCGATGAGGAAAAGTAACGACTGCGCGTCAATAGTATCATCGTCCAAATCTGTAATAAAATTTGGATGATCATTTATTAACGGGACAATATTATTTGATCCTCTAAAAACTAATTGATCTTTTTTGTATGTGCACTTTTAAAAATAAATGATGTGTTTTATTAAATTTTATCTTTATATTAATTTTATTGGGTCTATATTAGTTGATCTACGAATAAATTATGAATGATCTTCATTTAAGGTAACATAATATTTATGTTTAACATACTCTTTTAATATTTAGTAAACAAAAATAATATTTGATACTCTTTTTTAGTTATTGATCTTTAATTTTGTTAATTTGATGATTTTTATATCAAGTTTGCCTTTTAATATTGATCACCTAATAAATACATTTCGATCTATACCTATAACTTAACTTTAAAATATATTTGATCTAACTAAAAATATTATTAGTTAATATTTTTAATTAAAAAATATCTTTTAATTTAATGTCGGAAACATAATTATTAATTAGATTATTATTTGCAATGTCAGTTATTATAAAATTATTCATTATTTTAATCTAATGAGATCTAGTCACAGATTTACAAAGTGACATTCCAAAATATACACGAGCAGTTTCCTATGGGTGCGTTCTGGCCATGTATAGAACGGAAAGACGCAGCCGGCACCGGTCACTGATTCAGCAGCCGCGGTCGCTCATTTGGTAACCGGCGACATTTTGTAGGTATTTTTCGACAATACATTATGCAAAACTCTTATTTTCAGTCCTAGATTTGCTTTTAAACTAACAGTGATCTTTAATCTTTAACAGTTTTTGACAATTTTATAATCTTTGCTGAGGAAGAGAATTAAAATAGGACTTAGATGATGGATGATTGTGTTTTTCAGTTCTACTTTTAACTTTAAGAATCTTTTGAATCTCAGGCGGAGAAATACGATAGTCGCTTCACAATCTTGTTTCAGAGTTGTAAATTTTCTAGAAGATTTTTCGTTTTTTGACTTGAAAGGTCTGCCTTCTTGACTCTACTCTTGTCGATGGTTATCAGGAAATCTTTTATGATTATCGATGGTTCTTGCGTCTCTTATCTTATCTAGTATTCGTTGTAGACACTGTTTTTATATTTCAGCGTTTTCGAACTCTTCATATGACGATTATTAATCACCGACTTTCATTTTTATACAAGTGTAGGTACCTATCAATGTAAAAACACACAAACTCGCAGAGATCGAAAAACAATTCAAACAAACTAGCTTTTTGCACTCGCTTCTTACACTAACCGCCTCTGTGGTCTAGTGGTAAGACCACCTGCTTCAGACGCAGAGGTTCCGGGTTCGATTCCCAGTGGGGGCAGATTTTTCTGTTCGGTTTGGTTGGTGGTAGGACTTGTTCTAAGTCCGCCTGGCTAATTTGGTAGCTACCACCTTACCTAAGTCTGTCGCCATTTAACAACATTGTTAACAGCATATTGTTGTGTTCCGGCAGTTAGAGGTAAGATAGCCAGTTCCTCTGTGGTTGAGGATTCCGGGTGAAGCTTGCTTCCACCTTCGGCCTGATCATCACTTACCATCAGGTGAGATACAGGCCAAGAGCTTCCTCGTTGTGGATAAAAAAAAAACTTGACAACCTTCTGTTGTCGGTTGCCTTTATGAGTGCCAGGCCCAGCGCGCCGGCAGCCGTTTTGACTGCCGGCAGCGTATCACGTGGTATCACCGCCGGTTCCCAATGGCAATATTTTTGGGAACCGGCAAGCTCGTATGCCTGTTTGCGATTATCATTTTTTTCTGTGACATGTTTTACCAAAATAATTCAATGAGCGAAACTAATTACACTACTGCAAGAAAGATTATTTCTTTTATCGGGCGATATGGTCGGAAAGATTATCGCAACGCTTTATAATTTTAATTTTCAAAAATTTCCACCACTTACATTTGTTTGGGCGCTCAGGGTCAGATTTTTCTTTTTCGGCGGCATCAATAAGTAATTGAAGGAAATCATTTTTTCTGGAACAAAACATTTAATATTATTTTAAGTCACACTACTAGTCTATCTGTGGGGTACATACTTATTATTATAAAAAAAATATTGGAACGCCAATAAAATGTTATAAAATATTTTATAAAAAAAAAACTTACTTGGTGCCTGATAGCTTCCTTTCTGATTTAGCGACTTTCAATATTCTTAGTAGTTCTTCTATGCTCTTGGGGTAGAATATTGATATATTAAAAAATCGCAACATCTTTGGCATGAATACTAGAAAGAAAAAGATGCTTAATCGCTTCAATCTCGGCATGTAATTAAACTTTTCTGCTACCTGAAAATAAAATTTCATAAAAATATGAGGCGATGGAAAAATCCCCACCTGTATTAGATTCACATGTACAGATTGATATTTTCAGTTGTTTTTTTCGTTTACACCGGCAAGAGGCATGACAATAAAAGAAATATTAAGGACTTTTTTTTGTTTTTACCAAAATCACATCCAAGGGCCAAGACTTTTATCATTCTTTTGTATTTTGTTCACAACTTTATATCAGACAATTAAAAGCTGTATCTATTTGAGCTTTTTTCTATTTACATAATTATAAATAGGAAGGCAGACATACTTTGACAAAATGCGCGTTCTCGTCGGTCAACGCATCACACCTAATCCCAAACGCGCAAGCTCCTATCACTTCTAGTGTGAAGTGTCCCATAGTATCTTTCATTTCAACATCTTTTTTATCTAAAAGAACACAATTTATGCTTGTCATATTGACCTACTTGAAAATCTTCAATAGTCATTAAAATAAATTACTAAGTTAATTAATTTCGAAAACTTACCATATTGTTTCAGAAACTCAACCATTTGTTGAGAACAATGTTGAATTAAAGGGAGCATGTTTCTCAATCGTGAAGAACTGAATGTTGGAGTCAAAGTGCTTCTCACTCCTTTCCATTCTGAACCCTATGAAAATAAAATTATAGATATCCTCCCTGTAACTTTTAATAACATTTGTTTAACAATATACCTACCTTCAAATTCAGTAATGACTGTTTCAAGTATCTTGGTTTATTCGAGTTCATGATACTTCTATCGACAAAATGATCAAAATCTCTAATTGTGATTGCCTTGATGAGTTCAGGATCTAGAATATACAATACAGGTTGACTGCCTTCAAAAAGACCTGTAGAACAAATAATAGATATAATACAACTGATTGTTCGTCGACTGTGTTGTCTGTTACTTTATCTTCAGTGTGCTGTTAACAATAGGTAAATGTTTGGTTGGAGTATAGGAAATGGGGCGCTATGGGGCACAAGACTTAGAAAAAATTGTAATAGAGTAGGTAGGTGTGTAGGTTTTATGAAAACCAACCAAATTGAATCAACTCCTGTTCATAGGGAGTTTTTAAATAAAAATAACACAATAATCAAATAGGTACATATAATATTCTTACTGTACGTAAATAATATGCCCGATGTACGTAATTATATCAATTTATGTTAAATATAGTTATATTTAACGTTTATATTATATCAATTTATGTTAAATATCTATTAAGACCGTGGATAATACTAACAAATGGCATGAGTTATTATTAAATTATCCAGATTTAACAAAACCTGAATCGTATAAAGAGACGCCTAAACACTCAGTATGTCATTATGTAGAGACATCCGGTCCCCCGGTCTATACGAAGGCTAGGCCTCTACCTCCGGATAGGTACAAACGGGTCAAGGATGAATTTAAACATATGGTAGAAATATGTATTATGTAGGCCGTCCACTTCATGTATAGTCCAGTAGAATTAGATTTTAAATCGGAAATAATTCCTACAAAAGATTTTATTGCTTTAATGGCTTCATTGGTTGCCCATTAAGTAGAGGTGAGCGCCACGCCGGCGCGCCGCCGCCGCCGCGAATTTTTTCACGCCGCCGCCGCCGACGACCAGCTGTCGGCGCGCCGATACAGATACTGTACAAACTATTTGCAATTTATTCCTCTCCTATACTGTACTAATCTGTGTTTCGAACGCAGAAGAACTATTTTTTTTATTGAGTTGAGCGGCTATTCTAGTTCAATAAAGTCCTAGTATCACTACGACCGGTACCGATCTATTGTGATCGCCGCTATTTTCCTTACAGTTTGCCTCCGAGTCCTGCATCCACTAGGAATTGCAGTATCTTTTGGGGGGCGATATTTTTTACATCTTGTGGGCTTAGGATGTGTTTGCCCAGGTGTAAGCTCCGCTTGCGCATCAAAGGTCCGCAGCCGTGAGAATGTGTGGTGGCGTTTCATCTGCCTCTTGGCACATCCTGCGCGTTCTTGATTCGGACAGTCCCATAGTGGACAAGTGCTTGTTTAAACTGCAGTGTCCAGTGAGGGCTCGAACTAAGATGCGCATTTTGATCCTACTCAGTCCTATGATCTGCTTAGAGCATTTTCGGTCATAGACTTTTATGAGAGCTTTGGAATGAGTTAATCCTGGCGTGTCTGACCATGCCTTAAAGGATTTGTTTAAATAGATGTTCTCCAGGGTCATTCAAGCGAGACTTTTGGGAATGCCAAAAAAGGGTTCTGGACCATATTGTGTTCCCTCCGCTCGTCGCTTAGTTCGTCGGCATTTTCATTGCCACGATTCCCGCGTGACCTGGAACCCATTTCAGTGTTACTCTGTTACGTTCTCCTAGGGTATTCAGTCGACTCATGCAGTTTTCTACCAACTTTAAGGTGATTAAGTTGGAGTTTAAGGCCATCAGCGCGGCCTGACTGTCTGAGTTAATGTAAATTATGTGGTTGGCATAATTTTTTCGCAACTTAATGCCGTTGATATACTAATAAATTGATTGAATAACTCAATACTAACTATATTAACAGTTAATCAAGTACATTATTCAAGTTGCTGCTTGGTCTAGTAAATAATTGAACGCGAGAGACGGCGGTCCCTCTTGCTGTCAAGAAAAAAATCCCCGCCTTCGTCTGGCAGACAACCCACACTATTGGACTATACTTTAAGCGAATCACACACACAGAGTTTGGCAAATATGTCTCGGAATGCAAATGGGAACCACAACCTCTGGAAGGCAACAAAGTACCTCCCTTAAAGTGTTCTCCGCTTATTAGGTTCGATAATACATGAGTGCAAACTGACAAGAAAAATCTCAGACCTTTGCTACATGACAAGCCCGTTTATTTAAACCCATTCTCACACGGATAATCCAAAAAATCAACAATTCAATAAAAAAAATAAGATCAAGCATTGAACTTGATCAGAGACTTGCAGCTATGATGCCTGCCTTTGATTCATAAGACTGATTTCGGTCATGGTGACCACTTCGACTTAGCTGTCTTAGCGGCGCTGGTGCGCCCGAAGATGACTTACCTAGCCGATCTTCGCGGCAAATTCCTCGCACATTGAGAGTTTTACATCATCGCGTTTTGCGTCGAGTTCAGTTGTGCGCTGCTCCTTGAATTCGCGGACTCGCCTCTACACAACACAATCTCCCGCCATTCTAGGTGCTGTGCTGCCAAACCTTCCCATTGTGATTTGAGAGGGCCCATTTTGCATCTTTTCATATGCTGCTTCTGGACATCTTTGTACTTGACTATCTGAGGAGTTGACCGCCACGTTTCCGCTTACCCTCCTTAAGTTCAAAGTAGAAGATTGATTCCTACTACGCTAATTGAGGACGAAAGACGCAGGAGGACAAAGTGACTGATGTAGCCCACAGAATCGCTAAAATCAAGTGGCAGTGGGCGGGGCACATATCTCGTAGAGCTGATGGCCGCTGGGGCAGTAAAGTTCTTGAGTGGCAACCACGAGCCGAAAGACGTAGCGTGGGCAGGCCTCCCACTAGGTGGACCGACGATTTGGGGAAGGTCGCAGGTGCCTGGATGCGAGCGGCGCAGGACGTCTTTCGGCTGAAACGAAAGAACTAACGCTAAGAGAGATGGCTAAACTAAAGAAATAGCAAAAATGAACCCTCGAAAAGCACTTGTATTTGATCTGATCACCATGAAGTCCATGGTCTTGACAATGACCACACTGAGTGAGAACCTCGCAAGTCTCTTAACTTTGGAAATGATCCATAAGACTGGCAAGTAGCCTAACGAATTCTCTTATCGCTCAATTATGGAAAAGGATCATTCTTGCTCGTTTATTCCCTTGCCTAAGTATGACCCATGTAATATAGTATACCCGACCATAAATTTTGGCAGAAACCATACCAACCATAATCAGTACAATGTTTGGAAAAGAAAGAATCCTGTACATCTGCTTTCGCTGCGGCTTCAGCTGGGATTATCATAAAGGACTACTCTATGAAATTAAAAAGTACCTTCTAGCACACTTCTACTACCCGCTGATGGATTCTTATCTCAGTGACAGACAGTTTAAAATCAAACTCGGTGACAAAATCTTCTCTTTTTAGCTGCAGAGCTGGAGTACCCCAGGACTCTGTACTTGGTCCGATACTCTATAACATCTACTAGTAAAGTAGCCCAGACAACAGAAAGCTGCGGCCTTCCTCAAATGTAACTGTGTGTGTGACTAGACTGTTGCAAAGTCAGCTGATTGGCTGACCAAGTGGCGCATGTAATTAAGCCTCGAAGTCTCACCATATTATCATTTAAGACGTGAAACGTATCCTCCGGCCAATCTAGACCTCAACCCATTGCTGCAATCAACCTACATTAACATCCTGGACCGTAGGATAACATAGAAAGACCATAAATATAAATAAAACAGAACTGAATATAATATTCCACCGACAGTCAGCTAATCCAACATTAACTATGTGCCTCCAAAGAGCTCAAAAATACATGTTAAGGGTACTTTTATCGGCACATTGGTACGCTCGCCTTTAGGAAATACACGAGAACCTGATCTCAGCCAAACCCGCTATCCAAATATCAAAGTACCTATCTATGATCAAGAGAGCTAATTTACTAGGATAAACCACTGCTCTAGTGGCTCAAAGCCTCAAACCCCAACCAACTGCAAATCACCTGATTAGTCTTGACGACAGATACTAAAAAAGCAGATTTAAAAACAATACCCAATGAACAAAGGTCAAACAAGGTCACGCCGCCGACGCCGCCGCCGCCGAGGTCAAAAAGTCGGCGCGCCGCCGCCGGCCAATTGTATATCGGCGCCCACCTCTACCATTAACACGTTGAACGCCACGCTAAAAATTGAGTCTTTCCATACAGGCCATGGGACTCACCGGTGAGCCTTCCCCTACTGTTCCGTTCAGGCCACGGGGGTCACCGGTGAGCCGTGAGCAAGTTCAACAAAAACGCTTCTCACGAGCCAAATATTGTAGCTATCTAACAAAACGCTAATTGAAGTGAGCCGCGTGGCCCTCTAGTCTAACCGGACGGCGTGGTTTTCGAATCCAAAAGAAAGGAGAGGTGTTAGGGCACATACAAAACTTACCCAGAACCAACGAGAAGGAAAACCTAGATAACCCATGTTTTTGCTATATTCAGGCAGCGCAACATAAGTATGTAATTTTTATATTCCACATTAGTAACTAACATATAAATATATTGCTTAGTTTTTTTAATCAAGCGCGAAATTAATTTTTTTTTTCAACTGCTTCTAGTATGAACCTAAACTCGATGGATAGAGTTTAGGTTCATACTAGATATACTTGGTCCCAGATCCCAGTCTCCCTGGCCTAGACGTACATGGATCCGCATCCATCTATGTACGTCTAGGCCGCATCCATCTACGTCTCGGCCAGGGAGATTGGGTTCTGGATCCCTCCATAATTCGGAGGCCCTATATCCGCATATAGAGCCCCCGAGCCTCCCCGAAGTCCCCGAGCCTCCCCGAAGTCCCCGAGCTCCAGACGTCATAAATTTATTTACACTACTGGCGACTATCGTGCCACCTGCAGCAACTAGGCAGACTAGGCAGGCCGCCTCGTTGTAGTTCCTCCCACGGGCAGTTACAATGATGTCCATGACCGGGAGTGAGAGAGATCACCGCGTAGGACCCAGTTGTATTCGATGTTCCACAAGATTTGGTGCCAGAACTGAGTAGACCCGGAACAACTAACTCGACGCCATGCCATCGAAGAAGGCTTGAGAGGTAGTTGGTCAACAGATACCTCAGATAAACACTACCTCAGAGAAGACCCGTTTCTATTAAGTGCTCAACGAGGCGGGATGCTATTATGCATTCGAACAGTTTTCCTAGCTCATCGTGCAGGAATTTAACCAACCTAACCCTGATACCAAGTACCTACGATGCTGAGTAGGACTTTTTCTGTGGATGCAGTACATGAACATAAAAACTCGATAGGCATTCTAGTAAATTAAGTGGAAAATATGTTTTTCAGTCTGCGCTTCAAGAATAAATAAAGCTACATATTTATATGTTCGCCACTAATATTTCATATAAAAATTACATATTTATGTTGCACTGAAAATTACAAAACAATGGCATCTTTTGTGTCGGGCTTGGGTCATAAATGACCACTCTTCTTTGTACACTTTTTCAAAGTTATGAACGCACGGGCGCGCGGGGTGAGCCGCGGCGTGACCCCGTGGCCTCCGCCAACGGAAATTCTTGATTCTTTCCCAGGGGGCTTCGCGACCCACCGGTGAGCCTTTTGTTATATTGCTAAAACTACACGGTAGAAGTCGCTAATTTTTATTTTCTGCGCGAATTATGGCATTTTATAAACACTGGAATGAAAATTAGAAGTTGTCAAAAATGACCGATTACGTGATTTTGGCTTGGCCCGAATGGAAAAGTCGACTAGGCTCACCGGTGGGCCGTGTGGCGTGTTAAGACTTTCCTAGGTTTTCGACTTCGACGGAGTTGTGCTTAAGTGATGGGGGCCCCCGAAAGGGGCGCTTTTTAGGTTTTCCGGTTATACCGCGTGAAGGACTTACCCTATCGAAAAGTGGTCTTCCTGACGGTTGAAGGGCATTTAATCCTGCATTAAATAAGACCAAATTCATATTATTTTTTGGACAAACCGTTCTCGTGCAAATGTTCGGCAAATTAGAAAATATGTGTATAATTAATGACCCTTTCCACGTCCAATAGCTCGTCACCCGTAGGCTCCCAAACCTTGTAAAGGGTCGCCTTAACCAGCGTATCCCTGTCAAGGCTCACGAGTTGGATTCGCTTATCCTTGTTCGTCCCAGCCGTTCCTTAACTGCGGTTGCTGCACCTCTTCCTGGCACTCTCCTGAACGACTCTGTGTTACCTAATGTGGCTGCCCCTCTTCCTTGTACCCTCCTGACGATTGCATTGCTTAGCCATATAAATGGTCCAAGGTTCGACGCCACAAAATCAACTTCTTACGCGTGAAAATAGTTTAAATACTATTTTCCGTGCTTGCAACATTTTTCTTTACTGCTTCGCCTCTATTAGTCGTAGAGTGATTGTATATATCCTATAGCCTTCCTCAATTTATAAGCTATTCAACACAAAAATAATTATTTCAATCAAACTAGTAATTCTTGAGATTAGCGCGTTCAAACAAACAAACAAAAAACTCTTCAGCTTTTTAATATGAACTTGTTGTTGTTGATTTTTGGCGTCGAACCTTAGACCAGGCATACTGCTAGGAAACGTAGTCGTGCAGGAGGATACAAGGAAGAGGGACAGCCACAGTAGGTAACACAGAGTCGTTCAGGTGAGTGCCAGGAAGAGGTGCAGCAACCGCAGTTAAGGAACAGCTGGGACGAACAAGGATAGGCGCATCCAGCTCGTAAGCCTTGATAGGGTTACACTAGTTGAGGCGCTCCTTTTCAAGACTTGGAAGCCTGCGGGTAACGAGCCATTGGACGCGGAGAGGGTCATTAATTATACACATATTTTCTACTTTGCCGAACATTTGCACGAGAACGGTTTGTTCAAAACATATGAATTTGGTCTTATTTAATGCAGGATTAAATGCCCTTCAACCGTCAGAAAGACCACTTTCCGATAGGGTAAGTCCTTTACGCGGTATAACCGGAAAACCGAAAAAGCGCCCCTTTCGAGGGCCCCCCACCACTTAAGCACAACTCCGTCGAAGTCGAAAACCTAGGAGAATCTTTATGGGCAACTAATGAAGCCATTAAAACACTAAAATCTTTAGTTGGAATTATTTCCGATTTAATTCATTTTTGTGTTTAATTCTACTGGCCTAGTAGTAGCCAAAAAGAACGGAGATTTACGTCCTTGCGGTAACTACCGTAGGTTGAATGCCGTGACGAAGCCCGATCGACCGCTACCCCATACCCAGGTTGCAAGATTTTAAATACGTGTTAGCAGGTAAGAAAACTATTTTTTCTCGCCTAGATTTAAATAGAGCATATCATTTTATTCCTGTAAATGATGACGACATTGAGAAGACAGCGATCATAACACCCTTTGGACTGTTTGAATTTACGCGCATGACCTTTGGGTTACGTAACGCAGGTCAAACATTTCAACGATTCATGGATAGCGTTGTATTACAAGGTCTAGATTTTTTATTTGTGTATCTCGATGACGTAATAATAGCTAGTGAAAATGAGGTCCTGCACAAACAGCATTTAGATACAGTTTTTAAAAGATTTAATGATTAAGGCGTTACTTTAAATGTTGCGAAGTATGACTTTGGGAAATCAAAGTTAGAATTTTTAGGATATGAAGTGTCGTCGGCGGGAGTACGGCCCCTGGACTATAAAGTACAGGCGATTGTTGACTATCCGAAACCCGAGAACGTCGTACAGTATCGTTGATTCTTAGGTATGTTGAATTTTTATCGCACTCATATTCCTAGAGCCGCTGAATATCAATCTGAGCTCAATATTTATTTACACAACGCCAAAAAGAAAGACCGGACTGTTATAGCATGGAACGACAAAGCCAATGAGGCATTTAAGAAGTGTAAGGAGAGCTTACAAAGCGCCGCTACACTTCATTACATTACCCCGTTACCCGATGCGGACTTATCGCTTATGACCGACGCTTCAAACACATGCGTCGGCCCGGTTTTACAGCAAAAGGTAAACAATGTGTGGCAACCACTTGGTTATTTTTCAAAGAAGTTCTGTTGTCTCAGACTGAAATCAAATATTCGACTTATGATAGGGAATTGTTAGCAGTTTACAATTTTAATCATTCGATATTTTGATCGTTCGATCATTTGTAAATTCGATATTCTGAACGTTCGATTTTTGAGCATTCGATATTTTGAGCATTCGACATTTTGATCGTTCGATATTCTGATCGTTCGATGAAACGTGTTCGATATTTTGATTTTCGATCATTTGTAATTCGATATGGTGTAGGTAACCCTTGTTTTGTTTTCTATTGTTGATTGTATTGGGCAATGATGTGGGAACGCAGGACGCTACTCAATACGCTCTGTTCATTCATAATTTATGAATCATAAAGTTAAATTATTACTCTGATTAATGTGTACCTACACCTTAGATTATTAATCTAAGACCTACACTTACAATGAGATGTAAATTAGTTCTACATCTTCCTAAAAACAATTTCAGATAAATAGCAAACTCCCTCCCTAGAATTCTAAATTATTTTAATAGTAGGTATATTTTACTTAATCTTATGTTTCCTACTTACCCCCATATGGATTTCCTTTGAAATAATTGTAAATCTCATACTGATAACAGTGAAAAGATTTTTTTGCAGTTATTATAGGACCCAGACTACCCAAAAATATTATGGGCTTCATATATTTAATACCTTTCTTTTCAAAATAGTCAAATGTTCTGGCGTAGTAGAAATAAATAACGAATATCAATGTAAGAATTAGTAACAATTTCCAATCGGCTATTATAAAATCAAGTAATTTCTTCGTCCCGCTGAAGTATTCCATTTTAGATTTTTTTCACTATATTTAAGTTTAAAAATGTATTATTAACTTTTGTTTAAATCATCTAGAACTTCACTTTTTCTTTTATGTCGCAGCGTAGTAAGAAAATAACTATACGTCACGATTATCCAAGTCAAACGAAACTTATCCAAAGAAGAACTACTTTACAGCTGTTTTTATGTCACCAGCAGGTGATACTACGGTCATCGAAGTGAAACTTGCTTCCAAACAGCGACATCGGTGGATAAATTCAAATACTTTTTAACTACCCTAAAACGCTCTAGATGTCGCTGCTCCTGTTTCCTTCATATTTTCATTTTTTTCTTAATTAAAATATATTTGAGAATATTGTTAATTACATTGTGAAAACTTTTTTTAAAATGAAATTAATTTGTTTTAATTTAAAACTGAACGGTGACATTTTTTGTTATAATTTACATAATAGAGTAGTAGAAATTACTATTTAACATATGGCAACTTTGTTTTTCCTCCAAAATGGCCGGTGTTGTTTTTGTTGTTAAATGCATTCTTGTTTTCTTAGCCATCGTTTATTTATTTATTTATTTACTAGCGGCCGCCCGCGACTTCGTGCGCGTGGATCTCGTTTTACCCCCCCCTTCATCTATCTTACGCGGTTCAGATTTTTTCATACAAATGTTTTTTCCCGCTAACTCCCGTTCCCGTGAGAATTTTGCAATATCCTGTTGTAACTAAGCTTTAAGTTTACTAAGGTACCTGCATGCCAAATTTCAAGAGTCTATCTTACGCGGTTTAGATTTGTTCATACAAATGTTTTTTCCCGCTAACTCCCGTTCCCGTGGGAATTTTGCAATATCCTGTTGTAACTAAGCTTTAAGTTTACTAAGGTACCTGCATGCCAAATTTTAAGAGTCTAACTTAAGCGGTTTAGATTTTTCGTACAAAAGGATTTTCCCGACGGTAGTAAGAATACTAGTACTAATAACGCAGACACTTCTAGCAAAGTTCTAATTCCAAAAACAACGCGAAGTGGCCGCGTTATCAATAAACCGGTGCGTTTTGACTTGTAAGTTTTTTTCTTTCTAAGTAGGTAGAGCGGCTCATCGTTACTTACTTAGGATAAGTTTTTATAAATACAATGTTCTAATGTTTTTACGAAACATGTAAACTATTATGCGTATTATTAATTAGCTATTAGTTTATTAATTTAATATTGTATTTTTCTGTACTTACTTTATACATGGTTTCATGATTTTGTACTTTACTCTTTATTCAAATTGATTTAGTTTTGTATTTTGTTTGGCAAAAAATTTTGTTATTTTGTTTGGAGATGTTTATTAATGTTTTGTAATTTGTAATTGTCATTTTCATTATATTTTTTATATTATATGTATAATGATAGNGCAATGGACCAAGTGTACAATTTGATTGAGCGTATTATGTCTCTAGATATTTTTAATTGACATAGAATTTTGTTTTATAATGTTGTTTCAAATATTCATTATTTTGTTATTTACTCAATCAAGTGTTATTGTGTTTTATTTTTTGTATAAGGAGGGGGATGATGTAGGTACACATTAATCAGAGTAATAAATTAACTTCATGAATGAACAGAGAGTATTGAGTAGCGTCCTGCGTTCCCACATCATTGCCCAATACAATTAACAATAGAAAACAATAGTTATACTGTTCCTTGTATGTGTCGGCGGCTGAGCCCGCCAGTTTTATTTTAGTCGCAAATACACCTTTAAAGAAATCACATGTTTTACTGTTCCAACCTTCTGACGTACGTTTTGTGGACTTAACAGTAATATACCTGAACATAACGTATATCAATATAATTACGTACATCGGGTATATAATATTAACGTACAGGTCATAAGGGCAATTTAACGTGATTTACGTTTAGTGGTGATTTACTACCATTTAATATCCTGGAGGTGACAGTAATGGTTGTGAATTTCTTTTTTAAATTATGGTAGGGCGGTGTGAAACGGGTGGATGATTGATAGTTTCAGATGGCAGCCAATTATTTGCACATTTGGCCGAGGGGCACGTTTATGATGATCGCCCTGCCCAACCAAGACTGCTCGTGGACCGTGACGTTGTTCATGCCCTTCGAAAAATTTAAGGATTTGGATACAGAAGAAAAGTTGTTAGCATTCTTCGAGAAATACTTCCCGGATTCGATACCATTGATCGGTAGAAAAAGGTTGATTGAAGATTTCTTTGGTGGATCACCGTCGCCTTTGGTTGCAATCAAGGTAATTTCATATGACTTAGGTATATGACTTTGAAATGGTAGTTTGGATGAGACCTTTGACTTATCTGATGTATTGTTTTTTCAGTGCCGTCCATACAATGTCGATGATAAAGCGCTCATCATTGGAGACGCCGCTCACGCAGTCGTGCCTTTCTATGGTCAAGGCATGAATGCCGGTTTTGAGGACTGCACTATCCTAGATCAGCTCTTCCAGAAGTATAACGATAATTTGGCTGATATCTTGAGCGAGTTCTCAGTTACTAGATGGCCGGATACTTATGCAATCAGCGACTTAGCTATGTATAATTACATAGAGGTAAGTTAAAAAAAATAGCTACTGTTACTTTACCTACAGACACTGTAAAAGACAGTCATGTAGTTAAAATCTAGAGTGTCTGGTCAACATGTATCTATTTATACACAGCTTGTGTTTTTAGTTGTTTATGTTTACTAATTATTTTCTGTTATTGTTTATCACTGTTGTGATTAATAGCCTATTATTTTGTTACAGATGCGAGACCTAGTCACAAGGCCTTCGTATCGTCTCCGAAAGGCATTTGATGACCTGATGTTTTGGATGTTCCCAAATCTCTGGGTACCACTCTACAATTCAGTAACCTTTTCCACGATGCCTTACAGCCAGTGCGTTGAAAACCGTCGGTGGCAGAATAAGGTAATATAATATTTTAAACTATTATGTTGCATTTTTTACTATAAAATTATCACTTCACGGGATTTATTGCAACAATATCTATTTTAACGGTAAATAATATTTACCCTCCCGACGTTTCGGCTCGGTTGCACGAGTCATGGTCGCGGGCAGACTGAAGAGATGCGGCGTCGTCTGCTCCGGCGCGATGAGTTTTCTTCACCCACCCGCATTTGCACAATATTTTCGTCAGTGGTACAGTCAGTCCGACAAACCACACTAACAGTGTCCGGGTTTCTCTGAGACGGCCCAGAACGCGATTTGTACTTCGTTATCACCGGATTCCACGCTAATGATAGGTTAAATCCATCTTCTCGATTGAAATTCTTATGCTTTTTAATTTCAATGGCTTCACGTATCAACCTAACATGGTAATGCCTGTCAGTTGAGAGGATTTTCGGGTCATGAAGTTCCATCCAGTGAATAACCATCTCGTGCAACCGAGCCGAAACGTCGGGAGGGTAAATATTATTTACCGTTAAAATAGATATTGTTGCAATAAATCCCGTGAAGTGATAATTTTTTAGAATAAGGTAATGTTTTTAGTAGTAGCATTTGCAGCAATTTATTTTATAGTTCAATTGAAATCTATCTTCTTGTATTCCCAGCATACCTACATGATGCTAATTATATTAAACTAGCTTTTGCCCGCGGCTTCACCCGCGTGATATTTAGTTGGTCACAGATCGTCATAAATTATAGCTTATATGTTATTCTGGGTTATATATAATAATACTGTGAAGTTTCATCAAAATCCGTTCAGTAGTTTTTGCGTGCAAGAGTAACAAACATCCAGACATCCTGAAATTCATACAAACTTTCGCATTAATATAATATTAGTAGGAATTAGTAGGATTCAATACTGCAAGATTATGTTTTAACGTAATTTTTTTTCTTTGTTTCAGATTCTCTTCTCTCTAATCGTATTAATGGTATTCATTATGATTTTCTATGCATTCAAGTAAGGAACGTAGGTACACTACTATTTAAAATTATAGTATTATTCGTTTTGTCGTCTTACTAAATATTGCATTGTGTTTTTAATTTCTAATAAGGAGCAGTTTTCTGATTGATTGTGATTTAACACTTGTTCTAAGTACATGTTGTATTGCAAAGAATGAAGTGTGTGCTAAAACCCTGAACTTTTTTTTTTAATTTGTGAAAACCTACGAATTATTCTTCATTAAGGTCTACAATGTAGAGTATGAATTATTCTACGATTTTGCCCAAGTTAATATGTATTGCTAGTATTATTCATAGATATCAAGATCGAGCACCTTAATCGTTTAAACTTGGCACAAAATCTCCGATAGAGGACGTTGTCTCGCTCTGAACCGCGGTATTGATTGGTAAAAAAACTTTATTAGTGCCTAGCCTAGTGTCAACTATGACGATCATTACCTAAGTAAATAAAACACCAGATACTTCGTTAAATAGGACGTTTAATTCTTCCTTACATCGTACACTACATTTGAATGAGTTTTACTACTAACTGACACAACATATTGAAATACAACATACTTATACAACATATGAAAAGTGTGGTTGAAAAATATAAATTACTATACAATCACAACACCACGCCAAAACTCTACTTATCAAATAGGTTAGTGTAAGTAATAACAATACGCAAAGATAGTTAGTGAAACATTATTAAAGACTCTTTAAAATTAAATTTAATAAATACGTTTTCTTTTACAAATTATTTCACACACCTACCTAGGTATATTATATATACAATATAAAAAGTTTTAAATCAATGACGATCTAATTTTGTCTTGCTTAATAATATTTCTATAACCAGCACAAAAGTTGCAACAAATATACCGAAACTGAGGACAATGAAATGAACTCTTAAGTCATGTAATCGGAATACTTTATACGCCTTTGAATTCTTATGTAACAATGATCGACTATGAGCGCTCAGAGTGTTCAGGTGTCTTTGCAAAAGGCCATTTTCGAAGAAACGTTGTGCGTTGGCTGCCAGAGTGTCTCTCAGTGGAAATCCCCGGGCCATATAGGCCACAATCATATGGTCCCCTGGAAGATCCAATACGTCTATCTTGCGGTTTCCCTCCTTATCAAAGAACTTATACTTATTGATGACATACATTGCCTTTCTTTCTATAGTATACAAATCAACATTTGTCGCAACTAAATCTATCGCTCTACCCGGCAGAAGACAATCGGAAAATTCATTTTCTGGTAAACTCAGATTGTAGCTGTACTTGTAGATATTCCTCAGATTCTCACTAATACAAGGCTTGAAGGGAAGATTACTTAAATTTTCCCTGCTCACGTGCACAGTGTGTTTTTTCCGCGTAGTCATCGAACTGTACAAATTTGTGCCATAAAAACTGCTGACAAAAAAGGTCAACCAAATCCAACACGCCAAAACAAGTCTTATTCTCTTATTAGCTACCAAAATCGCACTGCTGTTTCCCATAAAGAAAAATCCATATAGTCGAAAGAAGACCTGAAAATAGTTATGCGCTTTTCGCATTGATAAATCTAAAGTGAACACGCATAAGATTGTAATAGCAGCATAGCTTATGAAAATAAGTATCCAAGTTTCACTGTCGAACTCTTTATAGAACTTGTTCCAGTCATCGTTCGTCTGTACCGAAGTGAATAAACAGTATGTGACATAATTTGCACTCCAAATGTAGTCAAACTTATCAGCTCGGTTTTTCATTAAGCGAGCAGCTCCTGCTACAATGTCAGCTTTTCCAGTATCAATATAGTGCAACAACCCTGTTGCAGTTCCATTGTCAAGCACCACACCACTTGATTGCTCATTACTATTGATATAGTCGAGATAGAACCCTTCCTTCGCTGCCATGTTTTCAAAAAAATATTGCTCTATACCCAGTTTATGCCTCTCATCAACCGTGTAATTGCTCGATCTAAAAATAACATTGGGAACTTCTTCCAACAATGCCACAGTTACGGTACAGTTTCTCAGTCCATTGATGAACTTGTTTGGAAAACAGTTCCGAGCATCAGCAAAGTTTTCGCAGTTTCCGAGAAGTCTTACGTCACCGATTGTTTTCCCACAACTTCGACCTTCAAAGGGAAAATATGTATAGATCGAAGTAACTTCTGAGCTCACTAATACGACGACATTGTAAGTTTTGTATTTCAAAAACGTTTCAAAAACGTCATTGATTTCGGCGTCTTTGATTTTTTCAACGTATACAATAAATTTTGCTCTAGGGTTCCAATATTCTTTTCTTGATAAATGCGCCATAAATTTTCGAAGTTCAGATAGCTCCTGAAATACAAGCATGTACTGATTCGTCCCATACAGGAATTCGACGTTTACTTGGGATAAAATAACATTGAAGCACGTTTTACTACGAGTATTAATATTATTCATAAGGTAACTGACATCACTAGTATAATTAGAAACAATATTCACTAAAGTTTTACAGGGAAAATATTTGGAAACTATTTTCATGATGCATTTTTGAGGGTGGACATTAATCAAGTTACTTTCGAATAACAACGTGTTTGTCACAGCAGAACACAAATTCACAGTTAAACAGAAGAAAATAATGTCTTTAAATACCGACTTTCTCAGCAGCATTATTACAAATGAAACATAAACCCAAAGCCCTATTGATCGCTGAGGCAGTACTATTAAAGTTTTCTTTGATAAATTGACCATCAAATTAGTAGGCACTTAAAGTATCTATAGTCTATCCAATATAGCTTGATTAGAATGACGGCTGTCAAACGAATGTGACTAGTGATGGGTATGTTTCGTACGGTTCACATAGATGTATCGATAAGTTTTCGAAAAAATGATATGAAAAAATGCACCCAATTTTTCTTCATTTATCTTTATTCATAAAAATTACAATTATGATTTAAATTTAAAGACAGTAAAATTTAAAATTCATGTCAAGGGTGTACAATCTAAGTCGTAGTCATTAACATCAGTGTTCTTCAGTGGTTTTTTCCTCTCGCTAGAGGGCGGTGGGCATCTCTTCTAGAGCAACGGTGCTATGAATACCCAAAAAATTACCGGTGATTGATTTCCGATGTTTGATTATTTAAGAATGAAATGTTTTTTGGTTTTTAATAGTGAACATTTAGAAAAACGTATAACTTGACTTAAATATGTTAAAAAATTAGTTAGAAAAAAAATTTGTTAAATATGTTAAAAAAATAGTTTTAATTTAATATGACATTTGTCGATATGTCCCAACACTAACATTTTTGTAACTCGAGATAACCTTGTAGAGACGTCGTTAATACTCTAGCTTGATTTTTATAATTTCGAATTACTACTTATTGGTGTAATTTAACGCTGCATTTACACGAAATTATCATTTTTATTGGAAGCACTGTCGTCGAAAATATTGTTTGTAGGTCAGACGTGAATTATTTCTTGTCCGCCAATATTTAGCTCTCATTGATCGCTACTACAAAGTTATGTCGTTACTTTTGATGACAGCTGTCATTCTAATCAAGCTATATTGGATAGACTATACTTATTTAGCTGTACATCTTTTCATTGTCATTGTCATTGTCATTGTCATGGTTGTTGATTGGGTGTTAAAAGTGGTCCAAGGGATAAAAATATATTTGGTATTTTCTAATAGTTGTAAACCTAGTTGGTTACTAAAACGTTACGCGAGTTATTCATCTGTTTCCTATAATAAATAATTTCGGCTACAAAAGTAATCGTTGATAGAATCGAGCCCACAAAAAGTACCGCAAAGTGTACTATGAAATCATCTAGAACGAATGGTGTCGCTAATCTTTTTTTGCGGTGGTCCACTACTCCTCTTAGGGGATTCAAAATTCTGAGATAATTTTCAACCAAGCCTGTCTCATACATGCGCTGCGCGTAACTTTGTAGCTTATCCCTTACAGGAAATCCCTTGGTCACATAAAAACCAAGAACGATGTCGCTGTAAAAATCCCAAATATCCAATTTACGGTTACCTTCTTTATCAATAAAATCTTTTTGTCTTTCTACATAAGATTCCTTAAGTTGAACTGTGTACAGATCATAAGCATTAGCGACTCTGTCAAATGCTCCGTCAATTGTACGACACGCAGGTATATCCAAGCTCTCGGGGAGCTTTTCATTGTAAGCGAAAATGAAAAATGTAGAGATCACAGTGCTGATGCATGGTTGGTAGGGTATTGAAGCAAGTTGTTCAGGTTCTATATGTCGCTTGCGCTGCACATGTCCAGTAATTAAACCGTACATATCAGAATTGTAGAAACTGCTGATGAAGAATGTGAACCAGATCCAAAAAGCTGTTACTGATCTCAACCTTCGAGTTTTCGAATACGGTTCAGCACCATTTCCTAGGTAGAAAAATCCCCATAATTTGACGATTAGGTATGTGTGACTGTAAGGTATTTTCGGATGCATATTCAGCAGCATTATACATGCCACTACGATAATTACGTAGAATAACAAAATCAGCAGCCAAGTTTTAGTATCAAACTCTGTATATACTGTTTTCCATATTTCTTTACCTAAGGCAGAAGTGAATAATTTGAAAGTAGCTACTTTGAAACCACATACGTAATCGAAGACGTCTGCTCTATTCTTGATGATGACGGTCGACCCCACGGCAATATCAGCAACATTGTTGTACAGTTCACCCAGCAAACCTGTGACATTACCGTGTGGTAAGACAATGCCATAGTTGATTTGCGTGTTTGCTATAACTATTTTATACTGTATAGTGTAGTTTGTAAATTCAGCGAAAGTGTCTATAATAAACTGCTCTACAATCGGCAATTTGTCGTGATGCGCATATGTAAAACTACTATTGTATTTATATTTAAGTGCTCTGAATTTACAATTTTTTAAACCTTCGGTGATATTTTTTGGGAAATAGCCACGGGCATTATTTTCTGAACAGCTTCCGAGGTTTTCTATCTCTTCAATGTACTCCCCACAGTTACCATCATGGAAAGGCCGGTATGTGTGTACGTTTGCTTCCATATTTTTATAGTTTATAAAAACAACTTCGTAGATTTTCATTGTTAAAAATTGCTCAAACAATACTTGGATTTCAGTGTCACAGACGTTTTTCGTAGAAATAAGAAATTGTGCTCGAGGATTCCAGGACATTTCATTTTTTAATTCAATCAAGCCTTCAGTGAGTTCCGTGAAGTCTTCAGTTATGATAACATAGATCGCATTCCTGATGAACCAATTTTTGTTGTCGAAGGATCTGACGTTCATAGTGTAACAGGTTTCCTGACTTATACTCTCAATTAAATAATTTATATCGCTCTTTGAAGACGCAAATGTTATAAATGCGTCGCATGGAAAGTCTTGCTTAATTACATTTGATACACATTTTTCCAATACGTGATTTTCACTCAAGCCTGTAAAAAGACTGGTGTTTAATTCTTGACTTTTTATGAATGATGCCGAAGTTAAAATGAAAATAAAGCAAGTTTCCAATCTTCGGAGCCAGTTCGTCTTGGTTGACATCGTTATAAGGACTGAGTTCACTTTGGCTTTGGGTAATTAGTGTTAGAAGATAATTATGAACATTGATGCCTCCAAATTTCTTCTTTGACGCAATAATTAACAAAAAGTACAATAATTATGCGATATTTTGAGTATGACTTATTACTGAATAACAAGTCCCACGACTTGTTATTCAGATCTGAGTTGATAACGTAATTAGAGCCTTGTTGAAATTATCCGGTACTTTTTACCAATCAGTAGGTATGATTTAGTTGCTTTTGTTTCTCTACAATTTTGAAGACAATTTAAGTATGTTTTTTTAGAAGAAAATTAGTCACACGATAATTTAGTTACGTGTTACGTGATTAAAGAAACCAACCATGTAATAATTTTTCCGCTATTTTTACCAAATGGCTACTTACTAGTTTTATTGTGGATGTAGAGCAGATTTCTCTAGCAAAGATTTGTAGTGTTTAACAGCAGAGATCCTCTTTGCAAGCTCATCCAATATGCAGCTTCGTATAAAGCCAGGCTGGGTACTAACGTTAAACGAAACGTTGCCACATTGTGAGGATACAATCATACAACACGCGGGAGCGGGTACGTAAAAATACACTGGAGTTTCCCCATTAATTTTTAACTACAGTAAAGTATTTTTAAAGTCGCGTTTTGTGTGAAATACTGCTGGTCATTACCAGCAGTAATCTACTCATTAGTAGACCATTATAATTTACCAAGAAGTCGTAGTACAAGACCCTCATGATGATACACAAGAGCAATGACGGATACCAAAAATCATCACTACATTAGTATAAAACAAAGTCGCTTTCCGCTGTCAACAGTCTGTCCCTATGTATGCATGCTTAGATCTTTATTTAAAAGTACCAACGGATTTTGATGCAGTTTTTTTAAATAGATAAGAGTGATTCTAGGGGAAGGTGTATAGGTATACTCAGCACCCGTGCAAAGCCGAGGCGTGTTGCTAGTTAATAAATAAAGCAAAATAATTGACGATCAATCCAAGCGTTTATTCATAATATCACAAGTCGGCCAGTACCAGATAGCTTTAGCTTAGACGGCAACAATAGGAGCAGCAGGGGCGGCAACGTACGGAGCGGCGACGTAAGAAGCGGCGGGCGCAACGTACGAGGCTGGTGCGGCAACGTACGCAGCGGGTGCGGCAACGTACGCCGCTAGACCGTTGTGGAAGCGGTGGTAGTATTGCGAGCTGGACGCCGTGACGACTGGAGCGGGGGCTGCGACTAAAGGTGCGCTCACCACCAGGGGTTTGGCGGCCGAGACGGCGATGAGGGCAGCGAGGAGGGCGATCTGGAATTTAAAAACGTTTAATACAACCATTCATTTCTAGTAAGTAAACAAAATGTAGAGATAGGTAGGTAGATTATAAAAGTTATTTGTTTCGGTCTTTGGGATTTTTTGACCCAATATTCAGAACTGTAATGTGTTACACAAACATTTTCACAAGTAACTGAATAGAATGTAGATGTTTATAAGGAATAGTAGTTACATAGAATATTTTTGTTGCCTCTTGTGAATATTAGAAATACCTATTATTCAGAATAAAAAAAATTGGTTATAAATAAAAATAATTGTACAAATTGTGCTCTACTAAATCTATTGAAATTAACATTGTTCTACTACGGTTCGGTAAAAAACACTTACGATTTTGAACATTTTACTGGTTTGTCTTGAATCAAGCACAGGACTCATACTGTCCACTGATGCGTCTGGACGTTATATAGCTGCAATCGAGAGTGTGTCGCAACTCCGTCCAAAGACAGCGTCTCTGACATTGGCGCTACGTGATGTGAATCCTGCGCATGCGTTAGGGATAAATTAGAGTGCATTTCGATTCCGAGGAAATTGAAGGTTGAGTGGAATTTGTTCAGTCCGATCACAGTTTGTGCTATATTTCGAGCACGTGCTTGGCAGTGGGTTGGATTTGAATGTAATCCTTGTTGAAATGAGTGCACCTAAAATCAGTAATTGGATCATTGTATTTAATAATTCGTTTATGAGTAGAGATGAACGTTTACACTGGTTCTCTATGAGTAATTGCTGAATTATAAGTAAAAGACTTTCCTTTTTGGGATAATAGAGTTGTGTAATGAATGTTTTGGTATTACTAATGCAGTACACACACGATTTTCGCCGACATGAGTAGTCGACTTTTGACATGTAGTCAATAGTCAAAATGATTAAATTGAAATAAAGCCGCCGACACCAAGTCGCCGAGCTGTCGGCGGGCTTGGAGTGGGAGTAGAGTCTTTTAGAGTATACAAATGGTATTTAAATGTATGAAGGATAAAATGAAAAACTTCTGAAGTTGAAAGAAAAAGATTCTAGAAAATAGGATAAAGATTTTCCGCGTCCGCCAGTGTTTGCGTTAAGTTCTTATCTCTACAGACTGTTTACAGGATATTTTAGATTAGCAACGTCGGCTTATCTTTTAATGGTTATGATTGAAAAGTTGGAATGGTGGCTAGAAGCTTTTAGCTAGTCTGAAACTTTCCTTAGCACGTTTTGAATTAATATGCGCTGTGCTTGGGTGCTGTGTTAGCTGATGTCTATTACTTTAGTTATTTTGTACAATGATAGCTTTTTCATTAACTAGGTATAGGTACTTATGACAGCCAAAAGTAGCAATAAGAAATAAAAAACAAATAAAAGCACATATCTACTTAATACATGACAGTTAAAAAAATATAATTAAGTTTTTCAGGTCTGAAATAATGTATTGCTTCAACTTCAACTTAGTTTTATCACAATATTTTTCATTATCATAGGTGGTTATAATATGATCTAGTAATATCTATAAGTCTACAAGGTTGAAATTGCGGTCGAAAACGTATAGAGCTTTCCCACAGTCCCAAAGTAGACGAGTCCAAAACAAAAAGTCAAAATACCTAACCATATGGGCGTCCCCATCTTTTAGTGCACATTCCGTTACAGTGGCGACGAATCGGGAGCTGAGGCTGACCCAAAGGAAGGGAAGAATTAATTGGGTTCAGTTTGACAAGGAGAAAAGAACAGCAAAACTATGGTGACGTTAATGAGAATATACGGGTTCCAGTTATTTAGTTATTTGCCCGAAGGACGCGGGGGACTTGGAAAGGTCAGTTATTAAAGTCTGCAGACTTCTTTTGATAGTTCAGAAGGGCTTCGTCTACTTAATTAATTTGAAGATTAGAAAATGTTTTATGTAAACGAACTGAGTAAATGTAAATACATAGAACGTAATCTTAGGTTGATTAAAGTTAGTTTAAAATAGATTTTAGCTAGTTGATTAAAATTTGTTGAAAATAGATCTTAGATTTAAAAGATGTTGGGTGCTTGTGTTCGAAAAGTGGGTTAATTATCAGTAATTTGAGGTAATTTGCGATGGCAAATTAACTTTATTTCTCTATTTTATTTCACAGAATTTTAATCACCTTACCATGACTGTAATTAGTACCTACCTACGAGTATCAAGTGGTATCGATAATAATGGACTAATTTATAATTTTACTTAGCATATTCTGGTGCTTTTAGTTCGCCGATTGCATACCTCCTCGTAGCCTAATGAGCGCTAAAGCCTTGTTAATTTTTTTGTTTTATATACCTTTAGCCTTGTTCATATCTTTTTTCTTTTTATATATCTTTATTATCCCGCGGCTTCGCTCGCTATGTTGTGGTTGGCTGGTATTTTAATTGGCGGGTGGACCAAAGCTCTAAATTTTTGAGTATTCTATGAATTTCTGCTTGTTGTGGATAGCCACAGTAAAAGTTTATGAGAAAAAAATACTTTAAATACGTAACAGGGAACCAAAATGAGACGTGTAAATTTTTCTTCAATTTACATTCAAAAATTCGTCGTTCCTTCGTATTGTCACATTGTGGACGCAAAATAAGTTACGTTATCGTATGGTTGATTTGTATCGATTTACATGTCAAAGAAATAATGGCAGCAAATCTATCTGGTACTTTCGATTGTATTTGTATCGTTTGAAACATTTTCAAAGCAATTTGAGGGAGATACGACGCCTGACGGAATACATTTATGTGTCTCGGTGATTTTGCTATGAGAAAACATATAGTGTGAGGCTAATGACGCCTGTTTAGAAATGTAGGCAAAATCTACACGTATAGCTAGGTGTCTCTATAAAAAATAACAAGTTTTTGTATTGCCCACAGCGATTACAATAAAACCATAAGACCAGCAAGTATTTATTTAGTATCATACATAATAACGAATTCCCTTAGTTTCTCCCTGGGAAGACAAAGAAAAAGCTTAAATTATGACATTAACAAAGTAAAGATTAATAATATTATTATTAGCTCTTTTGTCAATTACTCGCACTAAATCTAAACAGAAAAGAAATAATTACAATCCCTATGAAAAAGAAATGCATTTGTACGAACAAAGTTCCGCTATTCCTGAAGGATCCTTTATTCCAGGGCAAGTTAAGTTGCATCTAATCCGCGCCGTCCATAGCGTTCGATTCATTCCCGTCTCTTCAGATCCAGGAGATTACCTCCGAACACTTATTACTACCAGGATGTTGGAATTTGTAACCTTATCCAGAGACAGATTGAGAGAGATAGAGAAGAAAAGTGTAGATTTAAGTTTTGAAGGGACATAAAAGCTCTCTCTCTATTTTATTACAAGAATAGGTAATACGAGTCCAACCATACCTCTATAGGTAGGTATGTATTTATCGTTTTGAATCTATTAGAATCAAAAGCATGTTATCATAGAAGACAATAAGTTGTTTGGAAATTAAAATGAAAATTTTGTAGAATTTCAAAAATAATTATATCGAAAGCAATAAATATTGAATAATTATTTTAAAGAAAGTTTCTCAAGGACTATAAAGTATTTTTAATAACATAAGTAAGAAAGTATAATGTGTTAACTATGTTATGAAACTCTATAAAAGCTTATTAGTCACAATTTATTAGTACTACGATAGGAACCTTGTAATTTTTTCACCCAACAACCTTTTCCACTTCAAGCTCTCTTTTTATTAGAAAACTGAGTGCAATCTAATCCTCTTTATAGCTTAAAGTATTCCCTTATTACCAGTATCCAGCTAGATTAGCTCGGATAGATGGGCGTGACGGGCGGAGCCACCTGCATTAGCTAGCTATAGTGTTTAATATTTACTATATGGAGTAGAATACGCTTACTTTAAGGGCCATTTTTGCAACGTTCAGGTATTATAGAGCAATAAATATGGAGTAATGGAAGAAATAACGTAGATTCGCTTGATTTAAGGAATATTTTTGCTTCATTCAGGTAAAGGGTTTAGAGAAAATGTAGATTAGATATTCCTTCAGTAATTATTGCGTTCAGGAGCCGACTTTGATTAATCAGGCATCTTTCCTGTTACATTTATGAGGATATTAATTTTTAATTTTAATGCTCGTAGGAAATGGGGGAAAAGGAAGAAGAGTATGTTGTTGCATGATCCATTTTATTCAATGCTTTGTTGTTCGCTAATAAAAAAACGAAACGGTAGAGGGTTAGTTTTTTTTTCTTGTCTTACGCCCGTATTTACAAATGAGGTCTCACAGTGCACGTGGATGCACAGGGTCACACACGAACCATTAACAGAGCTCTATTCAACGCTGTGCGTTCGATTTTCTGCTTCACTTAAGCAAGTATCGCTTGTGAATACGGGTGTTAAGTCTTGAAGTTTTTTTGCTCGCAAAAGAACGTACTTTCGGTGTGCAATTAAGAAAAAATCGTCAGCACCAGGACTAGGAGAATGCAGTGTGTATCGTCCTCCTTTAAAATAAGATGTTATTAAATAAACCGCATTAAATAAAGATTTATCCTTTCTTTACCAGCGTGCATTAACCACCGTATCCTGCGGCGATTAGCGTCGGGCGTGACGGATTCGCTTGGCAGGTGGATCCCAAGACAATCTTAATGATTGAGAATGAAACGACGCTGAATAAGTAGCTTTAATTTATAAGTACCTACCTAACTGAGTGACTGGGACTTAGTCGTCTACGGTTCACATTATAAAAAAAGTCTAAAGCTCGATTTAACTCTCAGCTATTAGGTTTTGTTCTGTGATTGGTCTGAAGGTGGAAATTCAACCAAAAAGTCTCAATCATTAAGTTTGGATTCTGTTTGCATCTACAACTTTGTCAACTAAAATCTTCAAAAGCCTTGGTCTTTTTAGGAATTTTAATTCTAATTTTGGACAAATTCGACCTACCTCACGCGAGTTTTGAGGAAGCCTATAAATAGCAATAACGTATCTGTCAGCTAAACTTTTTGTACGGTATTTAATGTCAGATAACAGCCTGAAACTGTACGAGGAACCGGTCAACCTTAGCCTTTTATTCAGAGCTATATTACAATAAGAAGAAGATAAATTGTAACGAAATTTTTAATTCTAAAATCCCAATCGAAATTTCGCCGTTCAGAAGACTCCAATAAAATGCGGCTCACTGAGCCTCAATAAATTATTTTACGCTCATTGTGGTCTGACGGGCCCGTAAAGGATTACAAGGCCACAATAAGGTACGTTTATGATTAAGGCCCTGTTTAATGAGTGTATCGTCCAATTAACGAGAGTGACTACGAGTGACTCATGGGTTTTTTTCTGGGCAGCTGCTGGGTTGTGATTACAACTAAATGTAACTTTGAGATACATTAATGTTGAGCCAAATTTTTGATCTGGGATTGTGACATTTGATTTCAGATCTAACGTCTTAATAACTTTACGTTAAAAGTAATACAGCTATTTTT